CAACGGGACTGTGAGCTCTCACACCTGCTTCGCCGTATGCAGATATACTCGACGACTTTCCCAGCATCACGAAGCCGCACACCAGAGAGTCACCGGTGAAGCATTCCATCACTCACCACATTGTGACCACTGGACCTCCCGCTTTTACACGACCCCGTCGACTATCTGGAGAACGCCTCGCCATCGCGCGCCATGCGTTTGAGCACATGATTGAACTCGGCATTGTGTGGCCTTCCTCTAGCAACTGGGCGTCGCCACTCCACATGGTGCTGAAGAAAGATCCTGGTGACTGGAGACCATGTGGGGATTACCGCGCTCTCAATGCCCACACCTTACCAGACCGCTATCCACTTCCTCACATACAGGATTTCACATCAAATTTGGGTGGGTGCACAATCTTCTCTAAGATTGACTTAATGAAGGCTTACCATCAGATTCCTGTAAAACTCGCCGACATTCCGAAGACGGCCATCACCACCCCATTCGGTCTGTTTGAATATGTGAGGATTCCTTTTGGATTGCGCAACTCTGCACAGACCTCTCAGCGCACTACCAACAAGGTCACGCGAGGTCTCCATTCCGTATTTGCCTACCTTGATGACCTCCTTGTAGCAAGCTCATCCGGCCCTGAGCATGAAGCCCACCTGCGCACCCCGTTCCACCGCCTGGAGGATTACGGCTTTGTAATTAATCCCAATAAGTGCCTCTTCGGCGTCGCTACAATAGAGTTCCTAGGCCACCTTGTCACTCCAAAGGGTATCAAACCACCTGCCAGCAAAGTAAAGGCTATTCAAGACTTTCCACCCCCGACTTCACTGAAGAGACTTCGAGAATTTCTGGGCATACTAAACTTCCACCGCCGCTTTCTCCCAAAGTGCGCCACATTCTAAAGCTCTTGACCGGCCTATCGGCTAAAAAGAAAGACCCGGCTGCTCCACTGGAGTGGCCCAAGGACGCTGCATCTGCCTTCGACATTGCCAAGAAGGCTCTGGCAGACGCTACCATGCTCATACATCCCGGCCCTGATGCCCCAATTTGTCTCATCACCGATGCATCAAGCGTGGCAGTTGGCGCTGTTCTAGAGCAGCACGTATCCGGTTGGCAGCCCCTTGGGTTTTTCTCGCAAAAACTGAAGCCACCAGAGACAAAATACAGTACATTTTCCCGAGAACTCCTTGCGGTATACCTCGCCATCAAACATTTTCGTCATTTATTGGAGGGCCGGGACTTCTACATCGTTACAGACCACAAGCCCCTGACGTTTGCCTTCCATCGCAATCACAGCAATTATACTGCGCGGGAGATCCGTCAACTATGCTTTATTTCCGAGTTCACTGTAGATCTCAGAGAAGTACATGGGCCGGAAAATGCTGCTGCTGATGCACTATCCCACATCGATGCCTTGTCAACCCAGCCACTAGAGCTAGCAGCTGCCCAAAGCAACGATCCTGAGCTGCATCGTCTTCACTCTTTATTCACATCTCTATCGTTCACGGAGTGCCCGCTTCCATTTTTTACCTCATTATTAACGTGCGAAACGTCTACTGGTATCCCTCGGCCCTTCGTGCCTTCAGCTTTTCGTCGTGCAATTTTTGATCAATTGCACAACATGAGCCATCCTGGTATTCGTGCGACCCAGAAGCTAGTCACATCCCGTTTCCTTTGGCCAAGCATCAATGCTGATGTCCGACGCTGGGCGCGAACCTGCCTTGAGTGCCAGCGCGCTAAAGTTCACCGTCACACAGTCACGGCAACATCCCCGTTTCGGCCTCCAGACGCAAGGTTTTCTCACGTCCATCTCGACATCGACGGTCCACTTCCGTCATCGCTAGGAGCCTGTTATCTGCTGACATGTGTGGATCGCTTCACCCGATGGCCGGAAGCGTTTCCCATTTCCGACATTACAGCACCAACAGTTGCCAAGGCTTTAACAAACGGCTGGGTGTCGCGCTTTGGATGCCCTGCTGTCGTCACCACTAATCGCGGTTGTCAGTTTCAATCGGCCCTTTTCACCGCACTTGCCAATATCCTGGACATTCGACACATCCACACAACTGCCTACCATCCTTCCGCCAATGGCATGGTCGAACGGCTTCATCGACAGCTGAAAGCTGCCCTCACTGCTCACCAGCCAAGGGAACGTTGGCTCGACCACCTCCCCTTCGTACTTCTGGGCATCCGATCAGCATTAAAAGTGGATCTCGGCTGCTCATCAGCCGAACTAGTCTATGGCGTTTCTCTGCATCTTCCAGGAGAATTCTTCGAGCCATCATCGCCACCTTCCCCTCACGATGCCTCCACGTACATTCGAGAGCTGCGTACCACGTTTCGGGACCTTGCTCCTGTGATTCCTGCCGACCGACACCCCCAGTCTGTCTTCGTCGGTCAGGATCTGCATGACTGCAGTCACGTCTTCGTTCGGCGTGACCAAATATAGCCACCACTAACACCAGCCTATGATGGCCCATTCCGCGTACTCCATCGTACACCTAAGACGTTCTCGCTGGACATCAATGGCCGTGAAGACGTCGTGGCTGCTGATCGACTGAAACCTGCGCATATCGCCGTCGCGGCCGCGAGGTTTCCATCTAAAGTCCAAATGCCAACATCCAAGCATGTCCACTGGGCGACTCCTCTGGTGATTCATACGGCTCTCGCTCTACGGCGGGGAGCACTGTAGCGTCTCAATGCGCCGCTCGTCAAGGAAGAAGAAGTTGGCATTTGGGCCGCGCAGCGGGTGCAACGCGATAATAAAAAAATCAGTTCGAAAACTGAACGCTGTCAGGGCTGGATCTTTCCCGTGTTAGCTCCGACAACGTTATTGCCGGATTGATAAAATTGTGTGAGCTCCTTAAAGGTGTAGGCGGGACTGTGTTCGAGTTCCGGATCGGTAGGGGACGAGGATGGTGCCCGGAGAGTGAGCGCGCGGGCGGTGGCATCGGCCGTCTCATTACCATCGAGACCCGTGTGAGCCAGAGCCCATATGATTGTTCGGTGCGCGGGGGCACCTAGGTAGCTGCTGTTCTGCAAAATTTTATAAGCAAGGTACGGAATGTATCCCTGTTCAATATTGCGACAGGTACCCCTTGAGTCGGTGATGATGACCCTCGAGTCCTGATCTGCGGTAGCTAGTGCGATGGCGATCTTCTCCGCATGCGTAATGTTATGCGCACGGAATGTGAGTCCGTTTACAACGGTGTTTTGATGGACGACCGCAGCCGTGTACCAACCACCGTGCTGCGGACCGGAGGCGTCCACGTAGAATACTCCGAATTTGTGGCCGTAGTGTCGACCCAAGGCTTCCGCCCGCGCGAGGCGTCGGCCACTGTAGTCGTCTCGGGTCATGTTAGCCGGAAGAGGGCGCACGTGCAAGGAGTATCGCCAAACTTCTGGAATACGTACGCACTCTTCCGTGTGTATTGAATGATTGGTGTGTAGCCGGGCAAGGAGGCGGCGACCCGACGGTGTTTTAGAGAGTCTAGTATATTGGTTTAGAAAGTCTAGTATATAAGTGTGCCTCTCTCAGCTCCTTGAAGGTGTACACCATTCCCAAGCCCAAAAGGCGCTGGTTAGAGGTGCTGACAGGAAGGTCAAGGGTGCGCTTGTAGATTTTACGGAGAATGACTTCGAGTGCATTCTCGTCGGATTTGCATAGGTGGAGGTATGGAGCCGAGTGCAGGACTCGGCTGGTTACGAATGCATGCGCCAGCTGCAAGGCATCGTTGCATCGTAACCACCCGCGCTTGTTGGAAACCCGGCGGACCATCCGGCCCACCTGGTCCCCCACCTTACGCAATTTGGCCAATGTTGTTTCTGCTCTGCGATTTTTGCGTGGCAATTTAAGCACCGGCCCATATGCAGGTCTAGGGCCAAGATGTGAACATGTAACAGGCGCGTAGCCAGAAATTTTTTTTCGGGGGTGGCACCACCTTAACTTCGGAAGAAGCGCCCCCCCTTAAAATGGCCATTTTTGCTCTCTATGCTATGGCAAAAAACTTTTTTTTAGGGGGAATGGGGCACGTGCCCAGTGTGCCACACCCTGGCTGTGCCTCTGTCTGTGACGTTTGTGCCGTAAGGAGCTATGTAGCCCACACCAGCCCACCGCGCCGAGCTGCATGTGGACCTCGCACGTATCAACTGTAGCTGTAAGATGGTATAAAAGCAGAAGCTACACAATTGCGGCGGAGACAACTTGAGGCCGTAAAAAACGAACCCATGAACGTGTGCGGGTGTCTCAGCCCGATGTAGAACATTATCACCATAAAAGATGAAGCTGACGTGTTGTAATCCTCGGACTGAAGCTAGTCCAAACTAAATTCAGGTGGTGTTGCCAGACAGTTTTGAGTGGCGTGTTTTTTTTTTCGCAGCATAGGTGCGCATTCATGCACCCTGTGATGACGACGCCGTAGGAGCGACTAGTGACACGAATTGCGGCCCTGTACCATATATATGGATACAAGCGAAACCAAAACTGCTGAAAACCGGCTGACAAAGCCATTTTTGTACCTTATACATGCGGCGGACCTTCCCAAATATCTTTTTGTAGAATAAAATTTCTCTGACTCCTACGAACAGCTCTCTATTCATACGCTGGCATAATTATCTGGCATTTAATACTGCTCAAGACTGTCAGAATAGGAAGCTGACACCTGAATTTGATATTTGACTTGAGAATGCAATTGCGATTATAAAACTTTGGTGCTACTCTAAAGCATAACCACGAAAACACGGACTTCTGTAAAGTTCACCAGAGAAGTGCACTTTCAACACAGCACACGCTTACTGGTTTGCATAATTAGGCCTGTCAAAAATCCTATTTCGCCAAAACGGACAAATTCATATTGATTATGAAAGTTTAGGGTCTGGACTGACTACCAAAAAAGCGCTGGGTGCATGAGAAACAAATTAGACATGCCGATATTGAACATCCAAAGCGTCAATAACCAAGGATCGACTTGAATAGGCGTGTAAACGAAGGAGTTAAACAAAGTTATACTCACCAGCGCTTCCACGATGGTGGCTACGGGAAGAAAGCGTTGGCCAGTGTTTAGTAGCAGGCCACGATGCGAAAACCTGGGAGCGTCCACCACCTCGCTCTCATTGACCCAAAACTGCAAAAACACATAAGCTGGAGATGTATATTTAGGGTGAATCGGAAGCCATTGCACTTTCACAAATCACATAGCTTGTTGCACTCCACAAGTGTTGTTGTCATCGCTGTCTTTTTGCTTAACCGTACTAGAAGGACAGAAATATGTCCCCTCTCAGCTCAACTTAAAGATCAATTCAGTCCTCATGGGTTCTTGTCACCGAGAAAGAAGCATGTTTATTAACTTACAGTCGGCTGCATTTTTTTGGTGTGGTATGCTTCCAAAGCTCGCAGTGCGTGTTCATATTGCTCCTGCTAAAAATACCAAAACGTCTCGCGAAATTACGAAGCACAGCGGTAACGGAAAATGAAAAGAGCCACAAAATCTGCTCCTTCATCAACATTGTTATTTAATTTTTTAGGATGCTCCATAGGTCACTCATTTATGCAGCACCCTATTTGCCCGATGTAGGTTTTGCTACAGTACAAAGAGATGACATAATCCACGCAAGTGCTGCAATGGATATAACAGATATGTGCTTGATTTGGCACCCTTGATTACTACCACTGCATGCGTAGGAGCACAACTTAGCAAGCTTGTTGGGCGAAGAAAAAACCACGAGCACATCGTGCGGATTGGTATCTCCTTTGAGTTGAGCTGTGACCTTATGAAGACCAAACATGACAACATGCCTGAATGGTTCACGTTGACAATTTGCCCTCTTGCTGGCTTTCGTTTCTTTAAAATTAGTAGTTTGGCTAGAAATATTAGGAGCGACATAGCCAAAAGACGTGCAGCCAAAAGATGGTGTACCTGATCGTGAAAGCTTTCTGGCATTTTGTCCTTACGACTTTTTCATTGCCATTCCATACATGAAGACACCATTCCTGTTACGACAGCTTTCGAATGGGCTGACTAAAATGACAAAAGCTCATATTGTGCGCGCATACTGCACGCCCAAGACGCGTGATGGTCACAGACCTCACGCCTACGGTACAATGGTTCCGAAGATTTGGCATAGTCAGCCTGACATCATTAATTGATTGATATGTGGCGCTTGGTGTCCCAAAGTCTCCATATGATTATGAGAGACGCCGTTATGAAGGGCTCCGGAAATTTCGACCACCTGGGGTTCTTTAAATTAAAGTGCACCCAAATCTGAGCACACGGGCCTACAACATTTTCGCCTCCATCGGAAGTGCACCCGTCGCAGCCTGGACTCGACCATGAAACATCTCCCCCTCCTCCTGCGTATGCTTGTGAAGAGAGTTTAAAAACATGTTAAATTATCGCAGAAAACGCAGTAAAACACAGGTGCAGCGGCCATTTGGAGTAACGGCCTCCCGTCACACCATTGAATGAACTACAGGTTTTCTTGTTGAATTCAGTACAAGCGCCAGCCAAATTAATGTAGGCGCTAGTCAATTTAATCTAGCCGTTTCTCAAGTTAATCCGGGTGACATTCATTTTAATTCATGTGCCACTGAAATCAATCCAAGCGCCAGCCGATTTAGTCCAGACGCCAGCGAATTTAATCCTCACGACATCGTGACTTCCAAGCGAACCAGAATTTTCGGGAACGCGTGGAGTGAATAGCTTCGGAGTGAATTTAAGAGGAAATACTATCAGTATATGTAGAACAAACAATGAATGAGTCACTACACTCTAAGTCAAATCCTGGCTAGACTACACTCCCACAGGCGGGAAATCAAGTCAAACTATCGCCGTTTCTAGGGGGCTCCGTAGCCGTGTTGTAGAGAAACCGGCCCGATTTGAAGTGTCCTTCAGAATAGCCGGGATTTTAGGTCACATGTTTTCTCGCAAGATACGGCCTGCTGTTAGGCGTGACTCTCTTTAGGCGGCCGGCCTTGATGCGGTGGCGGGAAAAAAGGAATATTTTACGCTCTTGAGAGCGGTTTCTCGCCGAGAATGTGGCAGATATTACGACTACAGGTAATTAAAAAACTATTAGTATCACAATCACCTATGTTTGCGAGAATAACATGCAAAGCACAGCCCTAGAATCGAACTCGGGACCGCATGCACGTGGAGCATATGTCTTACCCATTGCACCACAGCGCCACCGCATGATGGCAAGTCTTTTTGCAGAGATATATATCTACCAAGTGGGGTTCCGCAAACCGTCTTCGGAACTTTGAACTACGACTACAGGTAATTAAAAAACTATTAGTATCACAATCACCTATGTTTGCGAGAATAACATGCAAAGCACAGCCCTAGAATCGAACTCGGGACCGCATGCACGTGGAGCATATGTCTTACCCATTGCACCACAGCGCCACCGCATGATGGCAAGTCTTTTTGCGGAGATATATATCTACCAAGTGGGGTTTCGCAAACCGTCTTCGGAACCTTGAACTACGACTACAGGTAATTAAAAAACCATTAGTATCACAATCACCTACGTTTGCGAGAATAACATGCAAAGCACAGCCCTAGAATCGAACTCGGACCGCATGCACGTGGAGCATAGGTCTTACCCATTGCACCACAGCGCCACCGCATGACGGCAAGCTCTTTTTGCGGAAGATATATATCCTACCAAGTGGTGGTCACAGACCTCACGCCTACGGTACATGGTTCCGAAGATTTGGCATAGTCAGCCTGACATCATTAATTGATTGATATGTGGCGCTTGGTGTCCCAAAGTCTCCATATGATTATGAGAGACGCCGTTATGAAGGGCTCCGGAAATTTCGACCACCTGGGGTTCTTTAAATTAAAGTGCACCCAAATCTGAGCACACGGGCCTACAACATTTTCGCCTCCATCGGAAGTGCACCCGTCGCAGCCTGGACTCGACCATGAAACATCTCCCCCTCCTCCTGCGTATGCTTGTGAAGAGAGTTTAAAAACATGTTAAATTATCGCAGAAAACGCAGTAAAACACAGGTGCAGCGGCCATTTGGAGTAACGGCCTCCCGTCACACCATTGAATGAACTACAGGTTTTCTTGTTGAATTCAGTACAAGCGCCAGCCAAATTAATGTAGGCGCTAGTCAATTTAATCTAGCCGTTTCTCAAGTTAATCCGGGTGACATTCATTTTAATACGAATCATCCAGATACAGCGCATTTAATCCCACACACGATCGAACAGAATTTCGGCCACCGAGAATGATCGGCAATGATGGAAGTCTTTTGCGAGATATTATATCTAACAAGTGGGTTTCGCAACCGTCTTCGAACCTGAACTACGACTCCAGGTAATTAAAAACTATGTATCACATCCCTACGTGTTGGAGAAAACCATGCAAGAGCCTAGAATCGAACTCGGGAACCGCAATGCCGTGGAGTAGGTCTTACCCATTGCACCGCGCCCCGCATTGATGGCAAGTGTGCGGAGAATATATTCTACTAAGTGGGGTTTCCGCAAACCTCGTCGGATATTGACTACGACTACAGGTAATTAAAAACTATTAGTATCACAATCACCTACGTTTGCGAGAATAACATGCAAAGCACAGCCCTAGAATCGAACTCGGGACCGCATGCACGTGGAGCATATGTCTTACCCATTGCACCACAGCGCCACCGCATGATGGCAAGTCTTTTTGCGGAGATATATATCTACCAAGTGGGGTTCCGCAAACCGTCTTCGGAACTTTGAACTACGACTACAGGTAATTAAAAAACTATTAGTATCGCAATCACCTATGTTTGCGAGAATAACATGCAAAGCACAGCCCTAGAATCGAACTCGGGACCGCATGCACGTGGAGCATATGTCTTACTCATTGCACCACAGCGCCACCGCATGACGGCGAGTCTTTTTGCGGAGATATATATCTACCAAGTGGGGTTTCGCAAACCATCTTCGGAACCTTGAACTGTTTTTTTTTTGCCATGTGCATGCATTTGATCAGCAAATAGTTCGTAGGGTTTCATGAATTCAAGACAACTACGGTGAGCGCTTTCGATTCTGACTTCGGTTCATGGTGCGCCATTCCGCAAGAACGATTAGTGTGTTTGTGCGTCGTTTTAGTGCTTCCCCGTGAACTGCGGGTGTTGCGCTCACCGAAATCCGCGGACGAGGCTGTGTTCGGCTGTCGAAACCTTCGTGTCTTTCTCGCACGTGCGTGTGCTTTGAGAAATTTCGCTGATTTGTGTCGGGAGGTACACGCGAGTCAGTGACAGTTGCCTATTCTCAGATGTTTGAAGACAATGCTGCTTTCGCATGTAAACGTTGCATGGGAATTTTAGCGTGCCTACTCTAACCATTGCGTTTCGTACGCGCGAACTGCCGCGAGCTGCAGGCTGGGACAGCAGCACATTTTTAGGATGTCTACGATTACGAATTTATGCGCATAATTTCGCTATATAGAGTGCTTGTTAGTCATTTTCAGTTTTGAACTGATCTTATTCATGGGGAGTGGCTACCCTTACATTTATTCAGCATCACATCGCTGTTCAAGTGAATGCAGAAACGCGCGCCAGGGTCGAGTATCACGTACACAAATTAGCGACGGACAGGTCGGTCACCCTCCAAATAAATAATGCCTCTGCACATCTCTGTTGCGAGCGCCGGCGTGCATTTGGGGTCAAGAAATGGTGCAGAACGAACCTTTAAACATTTATTCTTACTGCTAGCAGTTGCTCTTTAGAAAATGGGGATATTTATAGCTGGTAAATTATCTCCACAGCAGTACACTGGTTGTCTTGGTCATAATTCACTGTTACAAGTTCATTCTGGAATATGAGAACTGTACTTGATATACAAAAGAGTGAGCGATTGTCGGTGACATACGCTCTCCTGCTGACTGCGATTGATTGATTGATATGTGGGGTTTAACGTCCAACAACCACCAATTTGATCATTATAGACGCTCTAGTGGAGGGCTGCGGAAATTTTGACCATTTGGGGTTTTTTAACGTGCACCCAAATCTGAGCACACGGGCCTACATTTCCGCCTTCATCGAAAATGCAGCCGCCACTGCCGGGATTCGAACCCGTGAGCTGCGGGTCAGCAGCCGAGTACCTTAGCCACTACACCACTGCGG